CATGTCAATTAACTCCATAATGTTGTAAATTATTGTTATTATGCTGTGTCTTTAATTGATCGGGATGATATTCTGCCAGCTCTACGTTCTGACGAGAGATGGTCTCCCCAAGAAACTGTTGAATTTATATGGACAATAAGATGCTGGACTCTATATGCATGGTACATGCTTGCAATGAAAGAATCTTGACTGGATTTTTCTATTACTGCAAAATGGTGGAGGAATCCACCCTGGGGAAGGGTATGTGTATGTGGAGGGGTTAGGGGTATCCCAGAGCCTTAGAAATTGTGTCACAAAATGAAATGCAATTTAAAAAGGTAAAATAAATGAAATAGCTCATATAAATACTATTTACCCAGACTCCTATATTAAGCAGCATTATATTTAATACATAGGAGTCAGCCACAACAAACCATGTTTAAGTCATTTCAGATTGGTGGTTAATGATGTGGGAATCCCACATGCAGATCCTCAGCCAGGCGCAAGGCTGGCTGCTGCAGGTATGTGAAGCATCAACCAGCAGATGCAAGGTTCCTCTCCCTCTCTCTAATGCTGATTTTCAAATAAGTAAATGAATAAAACTTTTTAAATCAGTTTTAAGTCTTGAGTTGGGTTCTGGTTCAAATCAGAAAGAAGCAAAATCATACTGTAACCAAAGTAAATTTTGCTAGTAGTATAATAGGTACTGCCTGTTTCTATTAGTGTGCATACTACTTGCAATAGTATGTACTTATAGAGCCCTGAGATTTTAACATAAGCTGCTCATACGCCTTGCAGATACTCATATTAATGACTAAATCAGCTCTGCAAGGAGGGTACCTGATATCTGAGATGCCTAGTACCCAAACGGGAGACCAGGATGAAGCTTGTGTGCTCTGCCCCAGCCCTGACTGTTTCAGCTATCCTAGGAGGAAAACAGTAAACAGATCTCTGTCTGGGAGAAGCTCTGTGGCCTTGCAGACTTTTGTGGAATGAACCAGCATCTAGTTCATTTTCCTTTGTCTCTTTTGATAAATTTCTTTGTCTTTCTCTCAGTAATTCTGTGTTCCCTGGTGTCTAACTTTAGAGCATAAAAGGAATTAAGAAAATATTTTATCAGTGAAAAAATCCTGAAGTGTTAAATGGTGTATCATTACTTCTAAGGAAAACACAAGGCAACATTTCCGCTAGTTTATAACAAAACACTTTCATCAGTCAACCAATACTTACTATATTCTAGGTTTGCTTTAGTTTTGATTCATTTAATATAGTATTATTGACTTATTAACATTGGGCTCAGAGTCGATAGCACTGTAATTAATGCCAAAACAAAATTTATCTGACACAAATACATTCTCTTTAAAAAAGAAAAACCATAGTATCCTGCTTACGCGTAGGACAGTGCAAGACATTTCAGTACTATGCTTGGGCATCACAGTAAGTAGCTAATTAACTAACGACCACCAAAATGTGGCACAATACATACTGTGTATTAGACACTTGCTTATACAATGAGAACTGAAACTTATTTCGCCCTGCTCAATCTCAGCTGGAAATGTATGCTTAATAAATCACGAGTTAGCAGTGATGTTATATTACAAATGTTACCAAGCAGAAATTTTTTTTTTTAAAACAGAAAGTAAAAATTAGCCAGGAATACCCTTCATTAATTTACTAATGAAGCATCAAACTGTTGTATTTTATTGCCCTTTATGATAAAAAACACAAGCTACAGAAATAGTTCATAATTGAAATTTCTGCGGCTGGCACTGTGGTATATAGTATGTTAAGCCTCTGCCTGTGACACCAGCATTCCATACGGGTGCTTGTTTAAGACCTGGCTGCTCCCAGGTCTCCAACAAAGCTCCCTGCTAATGCAGCCTGGAAAGCAGCACAAGAGTACTTAGGTAGATGGGCTCCTGCACCCAACTGGGAGCTCTGAAAGCAGCTCTGGGTTTCTGATTTCAGTCTCACATGTATTCAGGCTTGCATAGCTTTAGACACGAACAGGAGAACACCATTCACTCATGATGTTTACCTTAAATGTGAAAATGCTTTTAAAAAAGAATCACAGGACAATAAGGGCAACAAACAAAAATGATAAGGGCTATGAAAAAAATATAAAAGATAGAATAGGGAAAGGGGTTTCACATGTTTTAATTAGGTAGCCAGGGAATGATTCTTTGAAGGCAACAATGCAAATGGTAAGAGCTCATGAAGCTACTGGAATGGCTCAGGTATAAGTGGTAATGGATTACACCAGAATAATAGTGGGGAGTGTGGAGAAAAACAGTCTGTAAACCAACCAAATGGGAAAAAAAAAGATTCTTTGCACGATATACAACAGATAGTGGAATAACATTCAAGATTTACTGAGAGCTTCAGATACTCAAACTACAGTCAAACAAACAACTCCATTAAGAAATGGATGAAGGACATGAGCAGGAATTTGTCAAGAGGATAAATTCAAATGGCTGGCAGACTTATGAAAAAGCACTCAGGCTCCATAGCCATTAGAGAAATGCAAACCACACTGAGGTCCCACCTCACTCCAGTGAGAAAGACCCACACACAGAAATCTACTAATATCACCTCTCATAGGAATGAGGGAAAAGGCACACCTGCTCCACATTGGTGGGAAGAGTACCTTGTCCAGCCACTATGGAAATCAGTATGGAGAGTGCTTTGCCAAGTGGAAACCGATCTGCCACATGATTGAGTATCCCGCTTCGGGGAATATATCCACAGGAATTGAAATCTGAATATGAGAAAGTGGCCTGCATACCTATATTTACAGCAGCACAATCCACGATAGCAAAGAAATGCAAACAATCCAGATATCCTTTTAAAAGTGGAATTGGTTATGCAAAACAAAAACAACGTGGTGCTTCTACTTTTTGGAATATCGCACAACAACTATAACAATGAACTTGAGCCATTTGTACCAATCTGCCATTTGTAAATACATACTATTATGATAGGTGCAATAGGCCAGTCTACCCCCAAAATAAATAATATGTTTCTCTGATGAGAAACACTCACACAAAATACAAAAGAGAATAGAAATATGGGTAAAAAAGTATATACATATATTCTCATAGATAAATTTTACAATGGAGGATAGCACACCAGTAATGTAAGATATGTTTTGGTTTGCGTCTCTACTCCCAACTGAAAGGAGGACTCCAAGTAAGGCTGTCAAGTACACCTTGACAGTCTGATACTAGATTCTATATCAATAGTTATACCTACAATCCCATGATACACTTCAATAACAAATGATGCACTCATGACTGTTGCTAAAGTGTAATACTATTATAATATAGGAGAAAATGGTATGGGGGAGAATAAGGAGAGAGGAAGGAGGGCGGCTCTGGGAATCTCCAAATAAACACATAAAAAGAGAACAGAAACCACAAAAATGGTCAAAATACATTTATAAAATGAGTAAAAATGTTATTATTTGCCTCCCTGAATTCAATCAATCTTATTTTCAAAGAAGAAAGGCTAATGATTAATGATAGCTCATTGGTGGTGGAGGCAGGATCAAATCATATCATCTAGAAGATAGTTGCACCTAAAGAGAGGTTGTAGGTCACTGAACAGTTGCCAAAACAAGACAGGTCTGTAGAGAGAGCAGGTTATAGAAGCAGAGTGTCTCCAGTCTCTCTCTGATTCCTGGCCCACTCCATGATAAATGGTCTTTCTACTGTTCTCCACCATCACCAAGCCAGAACCCATGAGGCCACTCAATTTTGGACAGTGTATTTCCACCCCATTAGGCAAAATAAATCTTCTTTAATAAGAAGTTCCTCTCTAGCATTTTAAATGTCATAAAGCGCTGATGTCAAGTATAGCTTGAGGAGTCACCCTGATCAACTAGACAAATGAATCTTTAACTAAGACATAGAATACCTGAGCAGGAGCAATCAGCACAAAGGAGAAGTGTCAGCTTTATACATATTAGAGGTGGATGCACGCAAAATTGAATGGAACTGAATCCCTTGACCCAGTCAGATAGCATCAATTATGATCTAATTTAAGGTGATCTTACACTGAGGAGTCACATGATAATGATACATGATTTGTGTAATAGCTTAGAATGTCTAATATTACTTTCAACACTTTCTTGAGGAAAGTATTTAAGAACAAATAATATTTTATAAATGAATCATGAATTGTGAATATCCAGTGATCACAGCGACTGAACATGAAATATATGCTTAGGCTTTGAATTCTAGCTTTCTTGCCATCCAGTGCAGCTTGTCATATAATCCTTGTCACTGGTGACATTTTATTTTATTTTCTTTATACATTTCAGTCATTATCGTAAGTTTTTCCTGAAGCTTCTTCATTTTTGCCTTTTTCACTGCAAAGATACTTGTTCAGTCTGGAGATTTAAGCATGATTCTTAATTAGTAATCCTAGACTAGATGACTAGCTCAGTTCATATTAAATACTGAAAAACATAAAAGCATACATAAAAATCTGTGAAGTTTCTTTCAAATTATATGTCAGTGACCTAAGTATTTAAAACAAGGGTCAAAATGAGTAAATACTTCACAGTGAAACATGCTGGATTCACTGAAATTTCATTATTTATCCCTATAATATTACCTAATTAAGAAAGTAACAATAAAAGAGCTGAAAGTTGTTAAGTGTTACCACTAAGAAACTTACTTTTTGCTTTTATATACATTTTCTTTCTTAAAGTTATGGAGTTCTCTCTCGGCAAACCGAGCTGCCCACTGAAAAATAACAAAAGATGGAGAAACATGCAGACAAATGTTAGATGAAAATGAGCATGAACATTCCAGAGCATACACATATCACTGTCAATGTATGCATCCACTATAACGAAATGCAGATAAAACATTTTGAATTGAAGGATCTTTTAGAAAAGGAAATATTTCAGGTAAGCAGATGACATGGGCCTAAAACTGGAGATGACTTGTGCACTTGCCAATGAATGCTGCTCTCTGATGTGAGATGGAGGACTGTTTGATTAGTCAAGTAATATGCTAAGGGCAATGTGGGAGGATGCAAGCCTCAGGCAACTGCAACACAGACTCAGAATCATTACACATGGCAGCTTTGCATAGTTGCCTCAAGGCCATCATCTCTACAGAAAATTCACTATGATTCTGTGAAACCATAAAGGTCTAAAACAGTTCAGCAGCATGTGGCTAAATGCTATTTTTTTAAACATAGATGAAATTATCAATGCATGTTGCCCTTCCAGTAAGTTCATGGCGCTGCATAAATCATATCCCATTTTATTCAGTAAGAGGTAAAGATAAAATCAAATGTTACAGAGAACAAAGCTTGCACAACCTAGTGAATATCAACAGCATGCAATAATCACAACTATTCATGTGGAAAGGTTAACCTCATTCTGAGAGATCTCCAGATGATTTGCAATCATTTTGTGAAATTTCGGACTGGGAAAACCATATGATTCACTAGGCTTATCACATAAGCATAGGTAAAGTCACTTAATTTATAATTTATTACAAAGAAAAAGAAGTTAGTCTGCATTTTTAAAAAATAAAAGTAATTACTCTGATATTTATTAAAAACTGAACTGCATGGCAGAAATAGCTTGGACAAAGAGTAAACCACATAAATATTTACAAAATGAATCAGTTATTTGCAAACCTTGCCATCATACAAAAATGCTTGTGTGTGAATATTATTCCTACATATAACAAATTTTTACTAAGAAATTATGCCAAGATAATCACTAAAATAAACTATTGAAATATTGATATGTGGAACCAAAATTATTTGAAATTATAAGGGAAAGAATGAAAAAACAAACAGGTTAATTAAACATGACTTTTTAAAATAAATTATGAAATATTTGTTTCAAAAAATACCTGTAACACATTAAGAAATAAGGCTACAAAGTTGGGCTCTTTGCCGTGGTCCATGCCCACAATGATGGACATATGATTGTTTATGTATTATGTATTATGGTAATAATATAGGGGAACCCAGTAGGGAAGGTAACTTGGGGAAGGAGTAAGGAAAATCCCAGGGACTATGGAATTGTAGCATAAAGTGATAATAATAATAATGAAAACAGTTTTAGAAAGGCAAAAATATACCTGTAACACATTAAGAAATAAGGCTACAAAGATAGGATATAATGTACTCCACTTTTTGTGAAATGCTCATATGAGCTTTTGGTAATCTTTATGGCACCACAGGACTAGAGCCAACATCCCATAACAGAGTGCTTGGTTCAAGTCACAGTTACTCTAAGTGTCATACAGAGCTTCCTGCCAACGTGATCTAGAGGCGAGGAATGATGGCTCATTGCAACCACACAGGAGATTGCATGGGGAGTTCCTAGATCCTGGATACAATCAGATCTGGACACATTCTGTGGCCATTTTGGACAGTTAACCGGCCGATGGAAGAATGTTCAATGTCTCTCTCTGCATTCCCCTCTATCATTCAAATAAGTAAACAAATCTTAGAAATATTTTGAAAATGTGTGTAAATACATGCTTTGTACATCATCTGAATTTGGGTTGCCATATTCATTTATATGGGGAGGCAGATCGATGGAATAAACTCCTTTACTCTGCTTCACTTCCCAAATCCAACATGAGCTGGAACTGGGCCAGGGCAAAGATGGAAGTAAGGAAATTGAAGGAGCTGCAGTTAGAGCAGTTCAACCGAAATACCCTGTATGCGATGGAGGCATTCTAGCTGGCATCCAAAATGCTAGGTCAGACAACTGCCCTGGTCTGAACTTTCAGTAAGTACATGCTATTTCTATTGGATGTGGCAAATACTGCTTCATTGAGATCTAGAGGGCACACTTTCTATGTCTTTTAACATAAAGTCACACACACCAAATAATAAAATCAAAGTAAAGTGATAGAAAATATACAAGACTTAGGCTCGGAAAGATCAGGATTGCAATCTCTGCTTTTCACTTCCTAATAACGTGACCTTGGGCTGTTGTCTCATCTATAAAATCTGTAACAATAAAATCTACTTCACAGTTATTAAGTAGACTTAATGGATGTTATTTCACAATATTTTCAAGTATAGTGCCTAAAACATCAAAAGGCACAAAAGTAGCCTCCTCCTCTGTGTCAGGGACTCCCCAAAAGACATCTCATAACTTCATGCAGTTTCTCTGCAGCACAGACCAGTGTTCACAATCACACACTTCTTAATACGTAGTGAGTAATTCAATAAATATTTAAAGAACTCTGAATTTTAGAAGTAGAAGGGGCTTAGTTAGCACTTTATCCACCCCATTGTTTACAAATGATTAAAATGACTCAGAGAACTTTTTTTCTTTCATAAATAACAAGGGGCAATCCAATGCCCCAACAATGTGAATCTGTGACCATGATATCTGTATATGCACATCACATCCTTCTGACCCTTGCGGACAGTATAGGTTCCTTTCAAAATAACAATGCGTTAAAACCAGACTGTATGGAATGGTCAAAGTGTTTATTATCACAAGAAGAGTAATTAAAATAAAGTGATCCTTTTACATAGCAATTTATTTTCTTCAATTTAGTTGCTCAGTATTATCTTCTAGAAGTAAAATCATAACTTGATTGATAAAAGTTAAAAAGCTTTAAGGGAATTTGAAACTTACCCAAGTATCATTTGCATTTTTCTTCAAATAAATAATCTGAAAAACAGAATATTTTAAATGTATACTTTTCTTATATAAAAACGTACCTATCATTTGCTTAGGAAATAACTCAAAAAGTCAAAACTATTTCAAACATCACTAACATCACTAACAATAATATTGATGCAAATTTTCATGTACACATCACATATTATAGGAATATGTGAAGACAATTAAAATATAAGTAATACACTTCCACTTTAGGTTCTTCAGTCAATAATTTTCATTTGTGAAATCTAATGTACTTTTAAAACAAGGCAGGAGACATGATACCTAAGAAGTCTTGTGTCAAGCTCTTTGAAATCCTGAAACTGTTGAAATGTCTTAGCCACATGTGACATTCTAAACAAAAGTGTGCAACGGATGGAGAAATTCATTTTCTCTTTCAATTCAATTTCAACACTCAGGTGTTAGGACCTACATCTATGCATGTGCTTGCACACACATACACACATACCTAAACATGATTATAAAGAATGGTACATGCATGCACATGTGCACACACACACCTGTACTTGACACACACCCCTGTACCTGATGATAAAGAGTGGTACACACATGCTCATACATGCACACACATGTGTCATACGTGGTAATACTGAATGTTCCACAGAGACACACACCTATACCTGTTAACAATTAATGGTACATACATGTACGTGTTTACACACATACTTGTTCCTGGTTAATAATGAATGGTACATGCATTCATGTACACACACCTGCACCTGGTAATAATGAATGGTACACACATGTGCATGCACACATCACACACACCTGTATTTGAAAGTAATCGATTGTTCTTTCCAATTCTTGTTCAAGGACTTTGATTCTCCAGCTAGGAAGAAAAATTATTTTGACATTAATGTATAAGCACAATACACAGGGCACTCATAAAACATTATTTACATCAAGAGTTTTCTATTCTAGGGGGCAAAACTCCCCAAACTATACATATTGAGAAATAAACATGAGGAACTATCACGTTCTTTAAAAAGCATGATCTGATGTTAATATTCTAGTATTTAGGCACTCCTGAAACAAAGATCATCCCAAGATTTAGACTGTGTGTATATCTGCTTTAAGTATGATCATGGGAGGCTTATTCAGACATCTGACATCTTAATGTGATCATAGGAAGTCAATGTCCTCTATTTGGCAAATGTTATTCATTACCTTTGCAAGATTAAAGTGATGGGGACAGCACTGTGACAAGGTGGTTAAAGGCTGCTATCGCATCACCCACATCTTGCATGGGCACTCATTTAAGTTCCAGCTGCCCCACATTATCAAGCTCCCTGCTAATGTGCCTGGGAACGCAGAGAAAAATGGCCTGCGTGTTTGGGCCCATGTAGGAGACCCACAGCAAGCTACTGGCTCCTTGTTTCATACTGTCCCACCCACAGCTGTGGTCATTGAGAATGAGTCAGCAGATAAAAGCTTCATTCATTCATTTTCTCTAATTGTTCCTTGCTCCATGTTTCTCATCTTTCTGTTTGCTGCCTTTCAAACACATGAATCAATTAAAAAGACTAACAAGCTAAATCAGATAAAGTCCAACTTTGCTTTTTGTGTGATGCACAACTATTCATGTACAGCTGAACCTTGCCTTTTGTCTATAGCTTTTACATTATTTCCTTGGGTCAACTGAAGGAGGATCCAAGGTTAAAGCTGGACTTAAAGTCTTGTAAACAAAGCTGGCTCAGTGGCAAAATGGGATAAATCTATGTTTGAGGCACCATAATCTCATATAGGCACCCCATTCAGATTACAGGAGCTCTACTTCTGGTCATGTGGCCAAGCTAATCTCTTTTATCTGTCTTTCTGTACCTCTAACTTTCAAATAAAATAAATACATGAAAAGAGACTTTTAAACAGCCTAGTGTGATGGCTAAATCTTCACCTTGCAAATCATAGGGATCCTATATGGGCACCAGTTCCTATCTCAGCTGCTCCACTTCCCATCCAGCTCCCTACTTGTGGCCTGGAAAAGGAGGGTGGCTCAAATCCTCGGGACCCTACAACCATGTGGAAGACCTAGAAAGCTCTTGGATTTGGATCAGCTCAGCTCTGGCTATTGCAGCCACTTGAGTGATCCAGCCAATGAAAGATCTTTTCTCCTTCTATCTCCTCTCTGTAAATCTGCCTTTCCAAGAAAATGGAATAAATTTTTTAAAAAATCTCATATACCTATCCAAGTAATATTAACTGTGCATTTTCTCTGATTTTTTCTCGTGGTGAGCTTTTAGCTACTCTCCAACCCACAAAAGAAAAAGCATTTAATACCGATAGACGTTGATCGCTTCTGTTTCACACTTAAGAGTATCATCCACTTTGAAAAGATGATCTTCCTTCCTTAGTTGGCAATTTTCCTCTGTCATTAATTCCCTTAAGCAAAATATTACATATTTCCCTTAATAACACATGATAAAACAATGAACTTTATTGCTTAACTATATCAAAATTGGTGATTCGCAAAAGTATTTTCGTACTTATCATTACAAACACAACATAAAACTGCTATATAAACATTCCTGGTGTAGTATTTAACATTATAAATTCAAATTTTAATGCAAACCATCTAAAATACTACTGCTATCACAACAGATGCCAAAGTTTTATGTAGGAATTTTATGTAGAAATTAGATTTAAAAGGTAAAAAAATGAAATTATGAGAAGGCATAACATTTATCCAGACTTCCTATATAAAGCAGCATTATATTTGTTACACAGCAGTCAGCCACAACAAACCATGTTTCAGTCATTTTAGATTGGTGGTTAATGATGTGGGAATCCCACATGCAGATCCTCAGCCAGGCACAGCACTGGCTGCTGCAGGAATGTGCAGTATCAACCAGCAGATGCAAGGTTCCTCTCCATCTCTCTAATGCCGATTTTCAAATAAGAAAATGAATCATTTTAAATCAGTTTTAAGTCTTGAGTTGGCTTTTGGGTCTGATCAGAAAGTAACAAAATCATACTACACCTGAAGTAAATTATGTTAGTAGTATAATCAGTACTATTTTTATTAGTGTGCATACTTCTTGCAATGATAAGTGGCTTTTGAAGCCCTGAGATTGTACCAGAATCTATACTTAGGACTTACATGTAATGATCTTGCTTAAAGACTGAGACAGCACGACAAAAATTTTACAATCCACTAAACAATGTATATATGCATTGTTAATGATGTATATATATATATATATATGAATCCAAGAAACTAAGTCAGGTCTTATATCATGATAAATGCAAATAAATTCTTTTTTTTTCTTTATATACATTTTATTTCTTATTTTGTTTACACAGTCGATTAGGATGGGAAGTGTCCTGGATTAGGGAAAAGTAGATCAGACCATGGTTTCAAAATTTTTCTACTTTCTGTGTCTTGGAAAACAGGGAGTGGGAGGGAAGTGACACCCATACTCTCAACTGCTTCAGTACCTGGGGATGGGGAATGGCCCTCCAATGCCATCCTAGGGTCCCCAGTGTGGCACAGGCTCACAGGGTTCTGCTCCCTATTTACTAGGGAAATGCCAATAAAAACCACATTACCATTCCAGCAAATACCAGTGAGAATGGACTACATTTGTCAATCTATTAATATGGCTGGCATGGATGTGGGAAGAATGGTACCCTGTCTCACCGTTGGTGGGAATGCAACCTAGTGCCACCACTTTGTCAGTCAGTATGGAGAGTATTAGGACAACTGAAAGTGAATCTACCATATTGTACAGCTAGTCCAGTACTGAAAAAAAAATCCAAATAATGTGAAAACTGCATATGAAAAAGTGACCTGCAACTTTATAGCAGCATGATCCACACAAGCGAAGGCATGGAAACAACCCAGATGCCTTTCAAAAGATGGATAAAGAAATGCTAGCAGATCTACTACATGGAATAATACTCAGACACCGAAATGAATCAATTCTACCATTTGCTGCAAAATGGTCCCAGCTAGAGACCATTATTCTCAGTGAAGTCAATCCCCAAAGAACAAACATCACATATTCTCTCTGATATGTCAACCTGCACGCAAAATCCCAGATCAATATTTAGGCAAACATGTACATACATATATTTATCATTAAAGATACTTTCCAATATGCACCTCTTCTCCCTAGTAAGAGGACTCACAATGAAAATGTTAAATACATTTTGACCATAGCATACGAGATTTTCTAGCATTGTCTATACCTACAAAGCCAAGATATACTTAAATAGAAGAGTCATAGACTTGTGATTGTTGCTATAGGACACTACTGTTATAATACAGTAGTTCAGAATGAGGTATGAAGCGGGAATCTCTGTGCCTATGGAACAGTATTATGAAAATACACATAATTGGACATAGGTATCATGTCACCAGGTAATTTACACCTTTGGATCCACCCCTATATATACTGTCTGACCCAAACAACAGTGTGCAGTGCATGACTGTGATTGGATCCAGATGCAGGGCTCACAGTGATTCTTTGATACCACACTATCCATCTATGTTGCATGAAAGTTTCTTTATATCAGAAAAAGCACATGTTCCTTTTGGTACTGGCTTATTTGCAGTGAGCATAATGGTCAATGGTTTGGGACCATTTTGTTGCAGATGGTAGAATTTCAGCCTTTCCAAAGGGTGAGTAGTATTCCACCATAAAAAAAAAAATGAATGAGCAAATCAATTTTTTTGCAAATCTAATCACAAATTAGAAACATTCAGTAATCACAGAAATTTGAGCATGTAATATATGACTCTGCTTTCAAAGGCTATTTTACTTTTCATCCAATGGAGCTGGCAATATGATTTTTATTACCTGCAAGTCGTTATGTCATTTCCTTGATATACTTCAGTCCTTATTGGGACTTCCTGTGGATGTGTCCCAATTTCATTTCCAAATCGTGTCCCTTCTGACTTCATAGGTATTTCTTCACTCTGATGATTTTCAATATGTTCTAAAGGAAATTTTAGGTCATAGCACAAGGAATATTTTAAGTTACATACTAACATCTGAAGACAGAAGTTACCAAATTAATAAGTTAATAACAAAATTAACAAAATTAAACTGGCTCCAATGATAGAATATCTAATGCTTGTCAATAGTTTAAAGATCTAGGTCTACTATTCTAAATATTGTCTCATATTTTTGTATACAATCCTCAAAAACTTCATTCAATCTAGCATCTATTATTCAACTTAGAAGCTAAAATCCATGAAGAAAAAAAGGCTTTTAAAAGTATTTTATTTCAACAGTCCCTTAAACTATTTCCATAACAATCAGTAATATCCATTTCATCTAGTAAAGAATTTGCCTCTCAATAGTATTATAGTTCTATTCAGCACTGACATTTAGGCATAAACATAATATGGGTAATAAATCATACAAGAAATTTAGACCTTTTGGCTAATAAATACTCAGATGTCCTCCAGACTTAAACCAAACTATGCCTGAGAGAAAAGTATAAATTTTAACCTACCTTCAACTGCTCATTCACCTACACTAATCTATAAAAATGAAAACTAACAATTCTAAATAATCTGAATGCTTCAAAAATAGGTGTATTATTTGATGACAGAATGTAGGAAAGATATATTTTCCCAAATGTGGCACCTATCACTACCCCAAACTTAATGAAAAGAAAAAATACAAAATCATATTAATAAGTAAAAAATTTTAGTAATTACATGTAATGGGTATATAACTATTCTAAAATATTCACTACTTACTTAAATGAGAATGCAAGGATATTTTAAGTAAATATCTTAAAAATAAATCACTGAAAATGACTGAATACACACAAAACTATGTGTATCTGTACTTTTAAAAAAAACTTTTGCAACCCATTTTAAAAGTTAAGCTACTTACGCCACTGTTAAAAAATTATTTATTAAATTGATGTTGAGTATTATTTCTTTAAGATTTATTTATTTTTATTGCAAACTCAGATATACAGAGAGGAGAGAGACAGAGAAGAAGATCTGTCCAATGATTCACTCCACAAGTGAGCGCAACGGCCAGAGCTGAGCCAATCTGAACCCAGGAGCCAGGAACTTCCTCCAGGTCACCCATGCTGGTGCAGGGTCCCAAGGCTCTGGGCCATCCTTGACTGCTTTCCCAGGCCACAAGTTGAGAGCTAGAT